AGCATTGAAGGGTGTCAAAGGCTATAGTCTCAGAGTTCCCACTAGTCTCTTTAAAAGAATAAGCTTGGTCTTCTTTACCATTTTGGGTTTTGTTTCACATTTTTGCCCCACTCTATCCTTGTCCTTTAAATGTGATCCTTTTCAGAGGAGTTGGTTGTGGTAGCCAGGTACCATCTAGTTATTTGAATTTCAGGGTTTGGAGACTGATGTTAGTGTGATCTATTTGTCCATTACCTACATGCTTCTTGAGCTTGAGTCATGGCCCGTTGATCTTGATCCCAGGTGTGCCTGTACTTCCTTAATAACCACTTAACCACTTAATAACCACAAATATGACCTGTGAGTTTTGTCTTGCCATTGCAATGGGTTGTTGTTTTTGTTGTTAGGTGTCATCTAGTTGGTTCTGAATCACAGTGACCCCATGCTCAGCAGAACCAAACACTGCCTGGTCCTGCACCATCCTCACAATTGTTCCTAAGCCTGAATCCATTGTTGCAGCCACTGTGTCAATCTATCTGGTTGAGGAACTTCCTCTTTTGTTTTGCCCCTCCTCTTTACCAAGCATGATGTCCTTCTCCAGGAACTGGTCTCTCCTGAAAATATGTCCAAAGTATGTAAGACAGTCTTCCCATCCTTGCCTTTAAGGAGCACTGTGGTCTTACTTCTTCCAACACAGATAGGTTTGTCCTTTTAGCAGTCCATAGTACATTCAATATTCTTCTTCAGCACCACAGTTCAAATGCATCTATTCTTCTGTGGTCTTTCTTATTCAGTGTCCAACTTCTACATGTATATGAAGCAATTGAAAATACCATAGGACAGGAGTACCTTAGTCCTCCAAGTGACATCCTTGCTCTACAATACTCTAAAGAGGCCTTGTACAGCAGATTTACCTAATGTAGCATGTCTTTTGGTCTCTTGGCTACTGCTTCCATGAGCATTGATTGTGAGTCCAAGTAAGACAAAAATCTTTAACTTCAACCTTTTCTCCATGTAACATGATGTTACCTATTGGTCCAGCTGTAAGAATTTTGGTCTTCCTTACATTGAATTGTAATCCACATTGATGGGCACAAACCTTGATCTTGATCAGCAAGTGCTTCCATTCCTCCTCCCTTTCAGCAAGCAAGTTGTGTCATTACCATTCTGAAGGGTCATTACCATACTGAAGGTTCTTAGTAAGCCTGCCTCCAACCTTGATGCCACACTCTTCTTCATATAATCCAGTTTCTCTGATGATTTGCTTGGCATATAGATTGAACCAAGTATGGTGAGAAGATACAGCCTTGATGCACACCTTTCCTGATTTTAGAACATGCAGCATTCCCTTGTTCTGTTCAAAGAACAATCTCTTATCCATGTATAAATTCTGAATGTGAAGAATGAAATGTTCTGGAATTCCCATTCTTCTCAAGGTTATCCACAGTTTATTATGGTGCACACAGTTGAATGCCTTTACACAGTCAATGAAACACAATTGAACATATTTCTGATATCTTCTGCTTTGAGCCAAGATCCATCTGACATCAGAAATGACATCCCTTATTCCACGTCCTCTTCTGGATCCGGCTGCAACCATTGTTGGGGGACCTTTAGCAAAATTTTACTTGTGTGTGCCATCAGTGATATTGTTTTAGAGTTGAGCATTCTGTTTGGGTCATCTTTCTTTGGAGTGGGCCAAATATGGATCTCTTCCAGTCCTGGCATAGACCAGTCAGTGCTTCCAGCTTCTTCAGCTTTCTGAAACATTTCATGGAGTATTTAATCAACTCCTGGAGCCTTATTTGTGGCTAATGTATTCAGTGCAATTTGAACCTCTTCCTTCAGCACCATTGGTTCTTGCTCATATGTTACCTCCTGAAATGGTGGCCTGTCAATTAGTACTTTTGGGTACAGTGACCCTGTGTATTCTTTCCATTTTCTCTTGATGCTTCCAGCATCGTTCAGTATTTTGCTATAGAATCTTTGAATCGTGGTGCTTGAGTGCCTTTGACTGTTAAAAGGACAAACTTATCTGTATTGGAAGAAGTAAGGCCATAGTGCTCCTCAGAGGCAAGGATGGCAAGACCTTGTTTTACATACTTTGGGCATGTTTTTAGGAGACACCAGTTCCTGGAGAAGGACATCATGTTTGATAAAGTGGAGGGGTGGCAAAAAGAGAAAGGCCTTTGACAAGATGAATTGACCCAGTGGCTACGTCAGTGGGCTCAGGCATAGAAATGACGATGGTGCAGGACAAGGCAGTGTTTCATTCTGCTGTGCATAGGGTCACTATAGGTTGAAGCTGACTTGATGGTACCTAACAGTAACAACAACCACAGCAATGAGATTTTGTACATCAGATTTATTTAATGCAAAGCATCTTTTTTGTACATCAGATTTATTTAATGCAAAGAATCTTTTGTTCTCCTGACTGCTTTGCAAAAGATTAGCCAACCCATAAGAGAAGTAGAGTGTTTTGAGGATAACTTGTGGAAGAATTGGTTAAAAGTTTGGAAATGAGAGGGAGGCTTGACCTCTACCCCCTGGCAAGCAGCTTTGGGCTGATCCTGGGCGTACACATCCCTCCTCCCACATCACTGAAATCAGGCAGTTGATAACATTAATACCATCATTTTTTTCAGAGCATTTCTCATAGTATTGAAAGCATACAAAGGACACAGCTTTGCTAAGACAAAAGTTGACTGTGAGGAATAACACAAATGATCCCTCCCTTTCGCTCTCAATGTTACTTAGGGTCTCTCAGCCATCAGAGTCCTTGAGACTCTGTCCAGGTGAGTGGGGCATTGCCCAGTGTCTTTGGTGGGTCTTTCCTCCTGGAAGTTTCAGCTGTTACATGAAGCATGTATCATATATACTTGAAGTATAAGCCAACCCGAATATCAGCCGAGGCTCTTAATTATACCACAAAAACTGCATTAAAAATATGCTGAAAAACTCAACTTATACACGAGTACATACGTTATATTTGGGGGTGGGTTGACAATTATATATTTTATTCTGTGACCTCACCTTCCACTTGCTTACCTAGTGTTCAACAAATAGTTACAGAATATTTGTTTTGAGCTAGACTGTGAAGCCACTGGGAATATAATATGGGACAAAATGGACAAGGTGCTGCCCTTCAGTGGAAGAAGCCATCGTTAAACAATCATTAAGTACTATGAAGAGCTATAAGGGTACATAATGGAAAGACCTAAAAGTGTCTGGAGTGTCAGGGAAGTTTCCCTTGAGGAAAGAATTTTATACTGTTCTTCCTCCCATTTGGAGTACAAGAACATAAGCCAAGAATATAGTTTGCTCAATTTTCTTCTAACATGTGCTGCACATAGTCCAAGCATACAAAAATAACTAAATGTTTTCCTCTTACACTCCTTTTACCTAGAGTACTCTCACAATCTTGATTATTTCCAGCTAATTTTATTGCATCGAACAGTAATCTTATCATCGTGTCTTCCCATTATCAGGTAATCCAGCTATATTCTTTCTCTGCGTTACACCTTACTTAGTCTTACTGATTTGGGTGAATGCTCTCCAATGTTCGCTTGCTCTCTATTATACATCTAGGTCAAGGTGTGAATCTGATGCACAAATACTTGTTCTTTTGAGGTTTTCCCCCTCCCATCGAACCCAGTTAGGCTTTGTAAGTAACTCTCCCCCCTAATTATCTAGAACTATAAATTGATTCCCTGGATATTATCAATGGTTAACCTGCTCGTCTGCTCTCCAAAAGGTTGTAGGTTTGAGTCAAGCCAGAAATGTCTTGGAAGAAAGACCTTGGGGAAACTCAAGCCTGAAAATCCTATGAAGCACAGTTCTACTCTGACAAAGAAGGAGTTGCCATGTGTCAATCAACTAGATGGCAACATTTTTTTCCCCACGGCTTATCCGTGGATTCTGTTTTCTTTCTCTATAAAACACCTTTAGGGAGCCCTGGTGGTGTAGTGTTCATGTATTGGGCTGCTAACCACAAGGTCACTGGTTCTAAACAACCAGCCACTCTGTAGAAAAAGGATGGGGCTTCCTCCTCCTTTAATGACTTATATTCTTGGAAACCCACAGGGGCAGTTCTTCCCGGCCCTTTAGGGTAACTATGAGTCAGAATCAAATCAATGGCAGTGAATTCTGGATCAATAGCTTTTATAACGTTACCCAACAAATTTGTTTGAAATTATTTTTCTATTCCATTTTCCTTAAAGAACTATATCTACTTGATTTAACATATAATGGGAAAATAATCAACAAAACATAATTCTGAAGGAATAAAAAAAAATAAAAATAAATTACTAGCTATTCTATATTCATTCAACACATATGAAGTACTAAAAAGATACCAACAAGAATGCTAGAAGAGACATTGATATATATAGTCCACATCAATGACCTATACAATATCATTTTATTAATTGATGATGGGGATGGAAAATACTAATGACTAATAAAATTAAGGAGACCTGGCTTTACTGATTTTTTTTCTTGCAATAAATCAGTAAAATCCAACAATCTTATCTTTTCATAAATCCCAGTGCCTCCTTTAATTTAAATGGACTTCCTGAGAATTCTATAAAAATAGGCATGATGGATTCATTTTACTTGGTGAAAATTCATTTGATTCTTGAATTAAATGCAATATGCATATACTTTATATGTTGGAATCTTTAAACAGTAAATTCAAATAATTATGTTTTTAAAATAATGACAAAATCACACATTTATTTTTTATCCTCTAATAAAAATTGCTATCAAATTAATTAGGTTGCAAAACAAGTGATTATAAAAATAAAAAAGTGAAGTTGTTGAAAGCACATGGCCTCTTGAAGAAAGGTTAATTTTAAAATCATTGCTCATGATTTTTAAATGCTTTATTATTTTAATTTTACTTAAAATTATATTGCAATTATAATGATCGTTTTTAGAAGAAATGAAAGATTGTTTAACTGTGTGACTTTCTTTAAAGTTATATAACTTACTAATGAATTGTTTAAAACACTTTTTGTTAGTGTTGTGGATCAATTTAGGAAGAAGGAAACTGATGCGGCGATTAAAATCCAGAGCTGGTTTCGAGGATGTAAAGTGCGGGCGTATATCAGGTATACTCTTCTTGTCATGAAAACCTCAGCTCTACTTTTAAGATCTTGAGAAAATGTAATGTATTCATATATTTTTCATATTAAATAAGCTCTTATTTCATTTTTTATGAAGTAGGTAAATTGTATGATAACTTTTTAAAATATGTTATTAGGTAACATATGATTTCATTTATTTTCCATATATATCAAAAACCCAAAATTATATAGAACATATCTCTACCTTTTTTTAATAATTAAATAATTTTATTGGGGGCTTGTATAACTCTTATCACAATCCACACATACGTCCATTGTGTCAAGTACTTTTGTACATTTGTTCCTTCATAATTCTCAAAACATTTGCTTTCTACTTGAGCCCTTGGTATCAGCTCCTCATTCTCCCCTCCCTCCCTACTCCCCCATGAACCCTTGATAATTTATAAATTATTATTATTTTGTAATATCTTACACCATCCGACATCTCCCTTCATCCACTTCTCCATTGGCTGTCCCCCAGGGAGGAGGTTATATATAGATCCTTGTACTCGGTTCCCCCTTTCTCCCTCACCTTCCTTCCACCCTCCCGGTATCGCCACTCTCAGCACTGGTCCTGAGGGGGTTCATCTATCCTGGATTCCCTGTGTTTCCAATTCCTATCTGTACCAGTGTACATCCTCCAGTCCAGCGGATATATCTCTATTTTAAAAAATTCCCAATATTCAAAAGGTACTTGATCAGATAATTTTCCTCAAATTTCATAACAACCTAAATCCACTGTCATTGAGTCAGTACTAATTGATAGGGCAGGATGACTCTGGTGTAAATATTTACAGAGGCGACCTCATCTTTCTCCCTCAGAATGACTAGTGAGTTCAAATCACTGACTTTTGGGTAAGCAATCCAACACTTCATTCACTGAGCTACTATACAAGACGGGTCAAAATGATTAGGTTGTATTAGTTGCAATACATCCACTGGCTGCTAAGGAAATCATCCCAATCCTTTCCAACATGTGGTTAGAAGATGAAGAAGAATGATGCTAGAATAGATAAGCCTCTCATCGAGTCAATCCCAACTCATAGAAATTCTACAGGACAGAGCAGTGCTGCCCCAGGTGGGATTTTGAGTCTGTATGTTTGATGGGAGTAGAAAGCCTTGCCTTTCTCCTGTGGAGCAGTTGGTGTTTTGGGATTGCTGACTTTGCAGTTAGCAGCCCAACTGAAGTAAATCCCTCTCTTTAATTTTCCCACATTTTACCTTCTTTCCCTTCAAATCTAAAAGTCTATCTTCTTAGATAAGGTAGAGGAAGAATATATCTCATCCATCAAAATTCAGATAGTAGATTGGAATTACATCTAATACTTTAGCAATAATGCTAGCACAATCATTGTATAAGCAAGTTCTGTGTCTCTTTTATAGCTACATCCAAATTCACTATAATGTTGTGGCAAAGTATGCCACTTTGTTGACCTGTATACACTTTGTTCTGTAAAAGTGACCTTGCCTTTATATCATCTTCTCCATTTCTGTGACTTTTCCCAATGCCACATTGCTGTTTCCTATCTATTTTCTTTATTTGATTATCTGATCACTAATGAATAAGTAGCATTTAACACATCTATGAGCTAAGCCTTAAAAAAAGCCACTTGTCTCTATTTCAGTCATAACTTGTGAAAATAATATGATTATCTTGAGGTCAATTCCTACTTAAATGCTGTGTGTTCACAGTTACATAATATAGTTTTAACACACACACACACACACACACACACCACAGTGGTGACGAGCAACAGAAACATGGGGAAGGGAGACAGTGGATGGTGTGAGATATGAAAATAATAATAGTGTATAATTTATGAAGGGTTCATGAGGGTGGGAATGGAAAAAATGAGGAGCTGATACCAAAGGTATCAGAAAGATACCCTTCTGAAAGAAAATGTTTTGAAAGGATGATGCCAACATATGTACAAATGTGCTGGACACAATGGATGTGTGGATTCTTATAAGAGCTGTAAGAGCCCCTAATAAAATGATTTACTTAAAAAATTTACAAAGAGTTTTATACTTTCTTAAATCATCTAGTAGGTGTCTTAGGTGCCAGGTAGGTGGATTTGAAGTGGGAAGAACAGGTTTCTGGTTTAGCCCTTTAAAAGCAAAGATAGTATCTTTAAAGTCACAAAACTTGACTTTAGATTGGAGAGATGGAGGAAAGTAAGAAAAGAGTAGAAGATGGTTCTTGATCTGTTCAGTGGAATTGTTCCCAAGTACTTCTCATGATTCCCCAGACTCCCCGGTATCACAAAGTGTTCAACTACTACTGAAAGTCTGACTTTCACATGAAAGGCACTCTTGTACATCTTGGGACCCCTGAGTTGAAATTGACTGGAAAGCAACTAACAACAGTAATGATTCATATCATTAGTACCTGATCTATTCTTCAACATGCCACCATATCCTGGTTCACAGCCTCCATTAAAAAGTATTTGAAAGAAAAACTTTTGAAGATTATCGAGATTTTAAAATAATGGTTTAATGTGACAAGCCCAGAAGAGACACTGAATTTTGTAGTTATCTATGCTGTTTCTACTTGTAGAAATGAGTAACTCTATAGCTCCGATAACTCTCTATCCTATAAAAATGTACATATGTGACTGAAATATGAGACAACCTTGTTTTAATAAGAAGATATTAATACACAGGTTTTTCATTCCAGGCTTTTACACAAAGGAGTAACAGTTATTCAAAAATGGTGGAGAGGTTTCTTAAACAGACAGCATTATCAATTAGTGGTGAAGGTAAATATAAAATTTATGTATGTTAGCATTTAAATGATATAGTATGATGTAGCTTATTCACTCCAGCCATATATACATAGAGCTTGGGAATTATTAATAGTAAAGAGGGACAAGATTTGGCTTGATTTTTAGTATGAGACCTTTTCTGAGAATTGATGATTTGCTTCTTTATAGCCTAAAGAAACCAAATATTTGATTTTAGCTGAAATACCTTTAACAGTGTATGATAATGTATTCATTGATGGTTGCCTGTCCTTTCTTAGATAGTAAGCTCTTTAAGAACAGGCACGGTTTCTTGCTCATTTAAAAAAATTTTTTTTCCAAGTCGGGCTGGTCTATAAACAAGGCAGTATGTATTGGTTAAATTATTTAAAATTTTCTTTGTTTGTTTTTTTTTGTTAGATATTTGGAAATCTTAAATGGCCTGTATTAGGTAACTAGGAAGATATAGTATTCAAATTTATTCTACAAATTAATGCCACAAAACATGAACAAAATTATTTCTGTACCATTTACTATATTTATTACTGAATTTTGAAATCTTTTGATCATTTGTCATGATAAATGCAGCATGCCACCATTGTGTGTATATTCTCATAGATGTGTAGAATTGAATGATAGCTCACCAACTCTTACCTCAACTAAAAGTTTTTGAAATTTCTTGAAAAAGATAAGTGTCTAAGCTCATAATGCGAGGGTTTCTAATCAGCAATTTGTTTCATTAAGTTACCAGGTCTACTTTTTTCTTCTTTTTTGTTTCACTATTATCTCTTGCAATTGTTGTTTTTCAACTTTCAGAGCATGTTGCTCCAATATATTCTTTCTTGTGTGGTTTCTGTGGGGATGTCTGAGTCTATTAGCTTATTACCTTTGTATGTGACTGCTTTTTCCTTCGAAGACACAGGAATGGAAATGGGGAACACCAGGAGTCAGTGGGGTAGGTGACATTACATGTTGGGGATTGTAATCAATGACATAAAATGAAATATGATGGAACACCGATGTAGTCTGTACAACATTAACCGATTTATAACACAAAGTTAAAAATAAAATAATAGAAAAATAAATGAAATAGCTAGAACCATTGACTGCCCTTAAGCTGAATATTGCTCTATTCAGTTTTCTAAATGAATGATTCTACCAACTCTATACAATTTTACTCTAACCATATGGATATCATTGTTCTTTATAGATGAAGAACCTTAGGTTCAGCAATGATTACTTCCCCAACCACACACTGTATATAATAAGTGTAGCCAAATTTAAGCCACTTTTATGTGGTTTCAAAACCTTTATGCTTTCTACTACCTTTCTTGTTATATTCCTAAAAATATTCTGTAAACTTTCAACAGTTACTAAATTATAAAAAAAAAGTCTTTAACAATAGCAGTAATTACTGGAATAAATGGCATGTTAAAAAGTGAAGGGGAGGATAGGATGAACGTCAAGAGGGATGAACGGGCATATTTCCACCTTTGGGTCAAGACAATCAACTGTGGGCAGCTCTCCGATGGAGCCTGGCTGAGCTCGAGTTAGCAAGAGGTTCTGTCCGGCCCGATGCTTTGGGGCCCTAACCCCACAGCGGGGTTGCTGTCTGGGAGCTCACAGAGGGAGGAGAGCAGGTACAGGGTGTGACCTCTGTCGATAAAAGCGTGCAGAGGGTCCACGGGAGAGACGGGAGAAAGGCTGGGAAGGGAGAACAAGGGGAATGAGGAATCAGAGATGAGAGGAAAAAGGAAGTGCTGAGAAGCCCGTTTCTCTTGCGCCAGCAGATGCTGGCACCTCACTCCCGTGGGGTGGGGGTGGGGGTGGGGAAGAAGAGCACGAGAAAGGAGCCCCAACAGGCCAAGAAGGAAGAGTTTGTCTTTCTAGAAGGCAGGGGGAATTCTGGGCTTCTACCTGAGACCATCAGCCACATGCTGTGTCCTGAATTCGGGCTCCTGTGGGCAGAGCATGTGACATGGACAGAGGTCAAGTGGGAGGCTGCCAGGAGGGTATCAGAATGCTTCCATCTCTGGCTGGGGAGAAGCCAACCTCAGAGGGAGCTGGCCTCCAGCAAGGACAAACAGAGTCCCGCAAACGTTTCTCTTCTCGTGCTGATTTCTCCAAAGCCCCGAAACTGAGAAGGTTTCGGTAGAAGGGGCAGAGCAGGGCAGGGGCTTCAGGCTCGTTTTCATCGGGGGTTGAAGGGCGGGTTGAGGCTGCCCTCAGACCAATGACCCTGAGGAGGGTTGTAGTTCTCCGGCCCTCTCCTCCCCACACCCACTGAGAGAGTGCGTGTGCAGCCTTCATGGGGTAGGGAGAGCTTGACTCTGGGCCAGAGAGAGCCCAGGCCAGACCAGCCTCGCAGACAACGGCCAGCACATTAGGAGAAGTCAGGCGGCTTTCAGCGCGGTAGCCATGCTAGGCTCAGCCTATCTTTCCCTGCTCTGGGCAGGCAGAGGCTCAAACCTTGTCTCTGGAAGCATCTGGCTCCCCGGGCACTACAAAGGCATGTGCAGGGATTCTATGGGTTTCATGGGTGCCCGAGGGAAAGCCCAGGGCGATAACCCAACCTGATGCGCAGTGACAAAAGCAAGAAGCAAGGAGCAGAGAGGAAAGGGACCGGAAAAAAAAAAAAAGTGAAGGGGAAATACACGTGGATTAAGCTTCTGGGGAACTAACTCCCTTTGATCATATATCAGGGATATGAATAGCCTTGCGATCATGCAGAGTGCTCTGGAAATTGAATTATTGTAGATGCAGTAAGATTAAAATTTAACACATTATCATTTGATTTCACTTTTGATCAATTTGCAATTTGTTCTAGTTTATAATATTTTCTGCTTTCTTTTCATCGATGTTTTTCTGTATAACTTTGTTATTATTGTTATTTTATCTATTTTTCTGTATGTGAAATCCAGGAAAGGTAAATGTATAGGGATAGTACTGGATTGATGGTTTATTGGGTGTATGGCAGGAAGGTATAGGGGGAAAGGGAAGTTAATTATAATGAGTACAAGAAAGAAGAAAATGTTCTAAAATTGATTGTGATGATGATTACATAACTCTTCTTAATATTCTAGAACTATAGAATTGTATGATATGTGAATTATATGCCAATAAACTTCAAGAAAAGACTGTATGGAGGGGGAAATATGCTTTTGGATCTTGCTATTACTAGCACTGCAGTAAAAACTGAGGCAATTTAAATAATTATTACATTATAAGGATAATGACATTTTTTTAATCTACTTGTCTAGGTTTGGATTTAAAACTTTCTGTTCATACCAAAGACTAAATTGGGTTGTGTTTACATCCCACGTTTCTGTTATTTGCAATATTTATAATAAAAGTGGTTACTAATTATTTTTGTTACCAATTATTTAGTAAAATTAGTTTACTATATACAACACAAAGGGCTTAATGCGTGTATTGACATTCAATCTCAATATAAGGAACTTTAAGTAAAAAATATAGTGTTTCCTAGTTTCTCTAGATTCTAAAAGGGAAATATATAATACACATAAAGCCCTATGCAGTTAAATCATTTGGCTTTTGGCCCTGTTACCTGAGAACTAGATCCTGCATGAGGCCATTGAGTAGGTGCAAACCAGACCAACAGGGGCTTCTGAGGGGCCTGATGCTGACCAAGCCTCAGGAAGCATGATGCAATCTATCGTGGTTTTGTGCTGCGGCCAATAAAAGTGATGAAAGATAAACTTGCGCTTTTTGGATGGAGAGAGTGAGTCTCTGTTCGCTAGAAAGTAAATTTGTCCCTTGGGGAAATGGAAGCTTTGTATATAGATTCTTCTCAGACTTTACCATATGCATTTGTATCATTTCTTTTTATTTTTTTCCCTGATTGAATAAAGACAGTATGTCTTTCCTACTCATTGTGGAACAAGAGAGAGAGAGAGAGAGAGAGAGAGAGAGAGAAGGCTGGTGCCCATCAACCTCATCCCAGGCAAGTGAGGCTGAAAGAGAAAGGGCCTGGAGCAAACCGGACTGACCAGGGTAGGGGTGCTGAAACATTCGCAGGACAGAGTTGGCCTGTGGAGTAGGACGGATTGTGCACCACCCATTTGTGACAGTGGTGGTTGTCTCAATCATCCTTGACTGACTTGGGAGAATCGGCGCTGTGAGCAGCATTGCCTAGAAAGAACCTTGACAGTACAATCTGTAAGACGTCCTTTTTTTTAATTAGCAGATATTTAATAGAAATTACTTAGCATGTTTTTCATATACTCCACTTTCCAGAAAGATTGAATATTGTTAAAAGATTGTCTTTGAATTGAGAAGATAGAGTTTACTTTTTTAGTAGCCATTGCATTTATGAATTTTATGAAAATTAATCCAATACCTTCCAGTCTATGTTTCCTTGGCTTTGACACAGATCAACCTGGATTTCCATTTTAGCTTCAGCAATTAGTATTGGTTTGACTTGGGCTAATTTTTTTAACCCCTTTCAACCTCAGATTTTTTCATTTATAAGATGGTGTTGATAGTGTTTTTTTACAAAAAGTGAAGATCCTATCAAAAGTGTGGAACATAAAATAAAAAAAGTCCAAAGATATTAGTTGACTTCTGATTCACAGTCACTCTGTAGGACAGCGTAGAACTACTTCTTGAGGTTTCTGAGACTATAAACCCTTATGGAGTGACAATCATCTTTCTCCTGATGTGGGTTTGAACAGCCAAGCTTATGGCTAGTGATGCAAGGTATAAACCACTGTGCTGCTAGGTTTCTTTGGGGCATAGCTAATAAATGGTTAACTTGGGTGAAAGGAAAGGCAATATACAATATGAGGGAGGTTAGGAAAAATTGATGGAGGCACAAAAGGATGCCTGGAGATTTTCAAGAGTCAAAGGCCACAGAGGGAACTAGTGCTATGCACACAATCCTGCATCCACTGTGTTCTACAGGTAGATGCTTGAATAGATATGCAGGCCGATAAGGTGTGGGATAGAATATAGGAGTTTACCCACAAAGATATTCAGGTTTGACAGAGGATATTTAT